AGGTGTGCTGTGTTGAAGGAAGGGGAAAACACTAGGATTTTGTATTCTCTACCTCTGAATATTACTGATGGGTTTGTAGTTTCGGGTGGCTGTCACAAAACTGACTCCACTGCTACAATGTAAAACTTGTTAAGTCCAAATATTTATTTCATATACACTCTGTCAAATATGTCTAAATATCACAAACTGGAAAGGTTAGGGATGTGAGCATAATAATGATATCCTGTAATAAGCAGGATATGTCTGGGAGGAAAAAGTACATTAATTCTCAGTTAGGAAAATGAAAGAGAAAGCATAAATAGAGCTGAAATGAAATTGATTCTTGAAACAAAATGATTTTTCCCCACACATCTCATCTAGTATAAAGCCGTATGACCTGCAGATTATTGACCTTTCTGCTCTCAGTTTATCACCTCCTCAACCTGGAAAATTAAAACAATATGGTGCCAAATCAGTAAGATTGTGGGTGTAAATGCTAAGTACACCTGAGCTATTATTACCACTATTATATTATTATTTCATTAAAGACTTGGCAATAAGGCTACAGTTTGGGACCCCTTATAACAGGAAAGTTTCAATTTCTTTTAATATTTATTACTGTCCTTCTATGATTTTTGAGTGACTGAATATATAAGAAAATGAAATTTGTCACTGTCACATAATCTATGAGAAACTGTCCCTAGGAAGGAATATACTACAGAATGGAAATGAGAAGTAAAGACTTTATTAGTGTTATTAGTGTTTCCTAGAGAAATAGGAAGAAAATAAAAGAGGTACATTGAAGTCTTTTGTAATAGGATCATCCACATTGGTAACCATGTACACCTGTTTTTTTTTTTTTCTGTGGAGCAGAAATAAAAATAGGGTCTGAATCTAGGTGATCAGGACTTTCCAGTCTTGGTAATATGTTGGACATTAAGGAGAACTTAATCTCAGAAAAAGAACTAAAAGAATTTAGTGCGACTAGAGCTAAGAGAGACGCGTCTATCATTCATTGAGTTAGTCTTGCGTTGGGTCTGGCCTCAGATGCTGTGCATACAAAGAAGACATGGTCCTATCTTGAAGCAGCTTGTGGGAAGGAGTCATATAGTCAGACAAGCACTATAAGAGAATAACAGAATCCTGTACAAGGAACAGTGGGACCCGGGGAAAGATGATCAACGTAGCCACGAGAGGTGGAAGGTTCCATAGATTATTAGAGGTTGTGACTGCAACTCTCAAAAGGGCTTCACATTATAGACTTTTAAGAGTTATTGTTATCTTATAACTTTCTGAAATGTTGTTTTTCTTTTGAGTTAGTCTGTATTTCCTAAAAATTCATAATCATAAAATAAAGGTTCTTAGAACACAATAATAACAATAAATACCCTTAGAACACTTCAAAGAGATTCCCCCCCACATGGTAGAATATGGATAAGAGGTGAGAGAAAAAACTTCTGCCTGTTTGTCAGTACAGGGGTTCCCAACCCCCAGGCCACAGACTGGTACCTGTCCATGGCCTGTTAGGAACTGGGCCACCCAGTAGAAGGTGAATGGTGGGCGAGCAAGCAAAGCTTCATCTGTATTTATTGCCATTCCTCATTGCTGGCATTACTGCCTGAGCTCCGTCTTCTGTCAGATCAGCAGCGGCATTAGCTTCTCATAGGAACCCAAACCCTATCGTGAACTGCATGTGTGAAGTATCTAGCTTGCTTGCTCCTTATGAGAATCTAATGCCTGATGATTGGAGGTGGAGTTGAGGCAGTGACGTTAGTGCTGTGGAGTGGCTGCAAATACAGATTAACATGAGCAGTGAGGGTTGACTGCACACTCACCCCCTGGTCTATGGAAAAATTGTCCTCCATGAAACTGATCCCTGATGCAAAAAAGGTTGGGGACTACTGTGTTAGTGGATTCTGAAGGAGAGAGTCTCAGGTGGGAGGCCAGTTCCTGGGGTGCACAGGAGACAAGGGACAAAAGGAAGACACTGACTCAAGCTCTAGCTACTTTCTAACATGCCTTCTTCTCTCTCAGCCACTGTTCCGTTCTTATGGCACCTCTTTCCCATCTTCCCCAGGCATACCCATCCACTTTCCTGGAGACACTAGAAAAGATGGTGTCTGGCCGTGGAAAGATCTGCTTAGAAGTTGGCTGGTAATCACTCACTGGTGACCCTCTCCCAGGAATACAGCCATTTTTAGAATAAATGGCAGGAAGAACAAATACCTTATAGGCATAAAGGACTGTCTCTTTGGTGACAGAATGGCAAGCAAGAGCATAGGCCACTGGGGTCCACTGCCACCTCCCAACATTTTACAAATCATCTACAGATGTGGTTATGTACCATATCTTTTAAGAAGCTGATTTGGCCAAAGAGCAGAGAAACCTTGTAACTAGGAAGCAAACTGTGGTCCACAACAAGCATCCTTGTATGACAATGGAGACCCAGCTTGCAGAGGGAGCACTAATTGTTGGGAATATGGTTGTGGGAAGGTGAGTCTAGTTCCCGGGGTAACATTCAAGTAAAGAAGGCTTTAATTCTCATTTCAGGATACCATTTTCCTGGCAGAGTCCAATGGGCTGGGTCTAGTGAATTTTAAGGCACTGCCCAAAAAATGACCATTTCTCTTTGGATACAAGTTTATTAAATCATCATACTGTCTGTCCTCTTTAGAGTCCATGTTCTTAAGGCATCTCAATTTTAATTTTAGATTTTTTCCTTGTTTATTCGTATGTCCATTCAAAATACACCAAATGGGAGAAAATCTCCTAACTGTTTCAGTGATTCTATAATAGAAACAGCACATCTTTGTTTTACTAGTATCAGGCTCACTCATGTCTGCCAAAATACAGAAGTTTCTCTTAAACACTTGGGTTCTGTCACGGGACAGGTGGTAGAAAGTGACATCAGATTTCCATACTAGATCTAATTTTTGATAAACAGGAGTTCACTCTTCTAAGAAATAGTCCAACATTTATTTTATTCCTAAGTTTCTCTTCTCGCATTCACTCCTAAGTTACATTTCCAGTTAGTTTTACTTCCTGATGGCTCACATTTCACATCCAAAATTCCATGCCATCAAATAGAAAATTTGAGTATTAATAGAACTTTCTATGCTCATTTGCTATGCCAAAGGAGAGAAAGAAGTATCTGCAGACTAGGATCTCTATGAGGAGATGTTTATAAATCTACTACAATGAGATTATTGAAAGTACATATCAGGGCCTTCCTATCGATAGGAAGAATAGGCACTAAATAAACATTTCTTCTGAACATTTGTGTAAGTTGCTCCTTACTTTGGGATGATCCTTAAACTTAACATTCATCAGTCTTGAAATGATTCAGCTATATTATCAGTGGCTATTTAAAGAACATTTATAGCTGTATATTCAGAAATGATCTAACCAATATTTTTATATGAGAGTGAAAACTAACTCTATTAGTGTGAATCCCATAGTTTTACAAAACACCTCCTTCCTTATTGTAAATCTGGCCCTATTTCTGTATTTATGCAGTGAGTACAAATTATTCTTGTGCTTTGACGTCTAATGAATCCCCTAACAATAATCCAGAATTTAGTGGAAAATTATATTTCTATTTTTTACATTTTCTATTGCTACAAGTCTAACAAACAAGTCCCCAAATTATTTAGTGGCAAGTCTGAAAGCTATTGCACTGTTGTAAAGGGGCCAGGATAGAAATGCCATTCTATCCGAGCGCTCTTCTGCTGCCTGTCATGTGAAACCCCAGTCCTCTTTACCTTCCTATCACTGAATTACCAGAGCGATTAGTCCACAGGAGTACATCCTGTTTTGAAGTCAGCACAGAAAAGGCTAAGGATCAACCAACCTGGACTACTCGTTTTAAAATTGCTTATTTCAGCTTGAGAATTTGTCGAAATAGAAACATCACGGAGACAACTGTATAAACTGGCCAAACTGAGCAGGAACAATTCTGTTAACACTCTCGATTGCAAATTGACAACTGGAGACTTTTGTGAGGTGTATAATGACAAAAGCCTGGCTGGAACATCTCCAACACTAGGGTGGAGGCTTCCAAGCATTGGTCAAACGATGAGACTAAGCAAAATCTTCTGAGAATCTTAAAACGGGATAGCTGGAAGGTCAGGTTAGCAATTTTCCTTTGTAATATTCAAAACAAGTGAAAGTGGGAACGGTGCAGAGGGGCGTGATACTCTGTCCAGATTGCTGGCAAAAGCTCTTTTGGAATTTTAGGCTGATAATGTAATTCAGGGGAGTTTCTACATTTCACAAGCCTGCCACAGATACCTTGGAAAAGACACCTTAGCTCATTACCCAAGTCCCCACTCTGCCACTAACATGCTGTGTGACACTGGACAAGTGACAATTTCTTTGTGTTTAAGTTCCTTCATCTGTAAAATGAGAGATTTGGAAGAACAGTCTTTAAGATCTCAGCCAGCTCTGTAGTGCTCTGATTCTGAGGGGAAATTATATAAGAATTAGGCTGAGCTTCAGCTGTGGTAATGTGGACGGCATCCTATTGTTTTATGGTGATACGTTATTGACCAGTTCATTTAACGCAAGTCATGGTTACTTGGACTAGGCCAGTCTAGAAACCCTTTTCAATTTCTTCCCTGTTTGCTTCAGGGCCTTGTTAGGACACCTCAGAAACACTGTCTTAAACAATTTGCAAAGAGGAGAGTTAAAAACATCCTCCTACTTCACGCTTCATTAAATCGCTCCACAGGCACTGCTCTCAAGCGGCCATAGCTCCTAGGAAGCAAGGGGTGAGTTAAATAAAGGTTAGAACATAAAATACAACTGTTCTCAAATTCTGATGGCACTGTTCTACTCCCTAGTCTTTTCCATTACACTTAAAGATTTATATTAAACACATGGAGACTTATTGACATAAGCATCTGGTCAATAAAAAAAGGAGACAGTTACTCTAGAAAATGATTAGAGAAAAAGACCAGGAAGTAGAAGAGGCAATGGAAACCAAACATGGAGAGAGCAACAGACATTCAGAGGACACTTACGGGTCAAAGGCCGCAAGCAGGAAGTTGAGGAGGAGGCTGATGGATTGCTCCACATGGATTTGATGAGTGGTTGGCATCCGTTTGTTGAGCTGGTAAAAAATGGTGGAGAGCACAGCCTCTAAGCGGGCCACATTGAGTTCTGTGTTTGGGTCCAAGTTGTTCAGAGCATTTTCCCGCAATGCTTCTATGACATTCCATATGTCCACCAGGTGCACTGCAATTAAAGCAGAGTTAACAGATCAGGTCCAAGGTACCTGTGGCAGTCTCGTGAAATGTAAAAATGTCCCTGAATTACATTGTCAGCCTAAAACTTCAAAAGAGCTTTTGTCAATTGCCTCTCTTCTGGATAGATTATTATCTCCTCCACTTTCCCCACTTGTTTTGAATATTACTTACTTTCTATGTGTCTCTACCCTGTTTTTTCTAGGCTCCTCACACGTGTTTAGCTGCTGCAGGGGCTGACATAAGTCAACAAACATAGGCTGTGCATAGTCTCCAGGACTTGATATATGTGGGGGGGACTCAAAAAACCAGAATTTATTTATAAAAATAATGTATTTATTCTTATATGTTTAAACTTCAGTCGTCCTCAAAGTACTCTTTGATGCAATATACCCGTTGAGACGCGTTTTCACTGCTCAGAACAGTTTTTGAACTCATCAATTTTGATGCCTCTTTGTATTTCTACCATTTTTTGTTTCACCTCTTCCATATCAGCAAAAAATTTCCCTTTGAGGACTTTTTTCATCAGGGGGAACAAAAAGAAGTTGCTCAGGGTAAGAGCAAGTGAATTGGAAAGGTGAGGCATGGGAACATGCTGTTTTTTAGTCAAAAACTTCTAAACACTCAGAGCGATATGAGCAGGTGTTTATAAAGCACCCATCATGAAATGGGCAAACACATTGAAAGAATCTCCAAAAAAAAAAAAAAAAAATTCATTGAAGCTGAATACAGTCTCTCACAACAGTGTCAGCTGGTATGCTGATGCTGATGGGTTCCTAGAACACTTACCTACCAGGGGAAGCTGCCTGTACTACAAGGGGCCTGCCCTCCAAAAACATAATTCTTTTTTTTGTTTTTGGAGGTCTCCCCTTGTATAATAGCAAGCAAATGATTTGCTGAACATTACTGTAGATAGTTGTTTCCGACTTTCACAATGGCCCTTGAAATAGAACATTATCTCCATGATACATGCAGGAAAACTGAGGATCAGGAAAGTGAACTGATAAATGCAAAGGTACAAGGTCCATCAGTGGAAAAACTGGCATCCAAATCTGAGGCTAGCTGGTATGGAAGCATTTTCTCACAACACACGGCTACTCAAAAAGAAGAGAAGACCAACCCTTCCATTCTAGTGTTTGAAAGGATATCAATATTGCATTTGAGTATTTAAATGTTTTTGTTCATGTATATTCTTTTTAGTAGTATTCAGTTTGAAGTAAGAAAAAAAAAGGAAAGTTAAGGTAGGCAGGAAGACACGGGAGTAAGGGAAAGTTATAGTCACAGATCATATAACTAACCTGGTCAAGAACAAGCAGTATCTTGGTGACATTGTTGACTAGCTGATGTAAGTCATGGTAACTTTCACTAGGATAGTGAAGAAATTCATTTCTATTTTCTTCCCTATTTGCCCTGAGGTCGTCTTATGATGTCCTAGAAATCATTACCACAACCAGGATAATGAACATGTCCAATACTCTCAAAAGCTTCTTCTAGAGCCTCTGTAATTTACACCTGCTCCCTGTCCCAGGCACCTGATCTGCTTTCTGACACAAATTTCTAAAATTCGGAGTCAATGGAATTAGATACTGTGGACTTTATTTTCATCTGGATTCTTTTGTATCAACAGCTTGCTCCTCTTTACTGCTTAGTAGTATTCCACTATGTAAATATAGCACAATTTTTATCAACTCACCTGCTGGTAGATATTTGAGTTGTTCCAGTTTTGAGTTACATGAACAATCATGTACAGCTCTTTGTATGTTGTACACACACACACACACACACACACCACATGCACACACACACACACACACACACACACACACACACACACACAGATGCAATTCCATTTCTCTTAGATAATTAGAGATTAAAAGTACTAAAAGTATTAAATGTATTAAGTAAATACTTAGAAATGAAGAGCTTGGTCATATGGTAGGCATATATGTTTAATTTTTTTTTTTTTTTTTTTTTTGACTTGGAGTCTCACTGTCGCCCAGACTGGAGTGCCACCGCAGCCTCGACCTGCCGGGCTCCGGCGATCCTTCCGCCTCAGCCTTCTAAGTAGCTGGAACTACAGGCGCGCGCTACCACGCCCGGCTAATTTTTTGATTTATTGTAGAGATGAGGTCTCACCTGCCCAGGAGGGTCTCGAACCCGCGGGCTCAGGCAATCCACTCACCTCAACCTCCCAAAGGCGCGGGATTACAGGCTGAGCCACCAAGCCCAGCTATATGTTTAATTTTTAAAGACACTTTCGAAGTGTTTTCCAAAGTAGCTGTACCCTCCTCCATTCCCATCAGCAATATGAGTTCAAATTCCTCCACACCTTCACCAAGTTTAGGTTTATTTTCATTACGCTCTTGCATTTACAAATACTTTGTTTTTTCTCAAAGAAGTATATACTTTTGTTTCAGTTCTTGAGAAATGTGCACCCCATATATGCTTTTTCACTAACAATCCCCTAAGTATTGTCTCCTATCTTTTTACCCACTTCTGACACTGTGTTTTTGTTGGGTTTTTTTTTGTTTTTGTTTTTTTGTGGACACCACCAAGGTCTATTGCTTATACATTCTGGAGCAGCAGCCCAAGCTACACCTGGGTCCCTGTGAAGCATCCAAGGTGCAGGGCAGTGTGCACCTCTCTGGAGACTTTGTCCTAAAGGTGCTAACTTGCCTCAAAGATCTCTGAAATGCCCTTGAGGTCATTCTTCCATTGTCTTGACAAATAGAATCTGGCTTCCCTCTTTCCATATTAATCTCCTTAACAAACAGTTGCTTGACCATACCCTTAGTATTCTCTCCTAAACAAGCTGCTTTACTCTTTACATGACCAGGATGACAGTTTTCTAGATCTTTCCATTCTGCTTCCCTTTTAATTATAAATTCCATCTTTAAATCATTTCTCTCTTCTCTCATTTTAATGGAAGCAGTCAGAAAAAGCCATGTAACACCTTGAACACTCTGCTGCTTGGATATTTCCTGTTAGGCCATAGTCCTAGCAGGCACTCCACGATGTTAGGTCAGGCCAGCTGGGGTGTGGGTATCTGGTGTACAATTTGGTGCTGCGAGAAAAATGCAAATAATCACACAGAAGTTAGATTAGAAAATATAGTTTATTTAGAAAGTAATTTAGAGAGAAAGAGGAGGCCAAAGCCAGGAAACATAGCTCAAAGAGCATATGGCCACACCAGAGTCTAGTAAAGTGATGGCTAACACTGTTTTGTTTTGTTTTGTTTTGTTTTTTTAAACATAGCCAGGCATGGTGGTGCACACCTGTAGTTCCAACTACTTAGAAGGCTGAGGTAGAAGGGTCACCTGAGCCCAGCAGGTTGAGTCTGCAGTGGCAGTGAACATGCTACTGCACTCCAGCCTAGATGACAGAGTGAGACTGATTCCAAAAAAACAAACAAAAACCAAAAACCAAAAACAAAGCAAACATCTAGTGAGCTCCTAGTATGGCTGCCTGGCATTGAACTATGTGACCATGTTTTCTTGGCTCTTCTCTTATTTTTGTTCTCGGAACAGATCTGTAGTTTCTTGCCTTTGATATAGGAGAACTTTATCACCAATCCCTTCCACTAAAATAACAAGCCAGCCAGCCAGTCAGTGAGTCAACCAACCAACCAATCAACCAAGTCCTTTGAAGTTAGACTCTCTTCTCCTAGGTCAAGTTTAACTGCAGAATCTTTAGCCACGGGACCTTGAGGGACATGCAGATCTTCTTATACCCAAATTAGGCTTAAAGAAAAACAAACACCTAAAATTTGGGTCTCATAACAAATTTTATATATATTTTGAGACCTAAACAATAAGTGTATTATACAAATCCACAAACTAACAAAGGCAGGTTATACAAAACTTTCACTATGATCATTTGCTGTTACTTTTAATAATTACTTTAAATAAACTGGGCATGGTGACTAATGCCTATAATCCCAGCACTGTGGGAGGCCTAGGAGGGAAGATTGCTTGAGGCCAGAAATTTGAGACCAGCCTGGAGAACACAGAGAAATCCCGTTTCTACAAACATTAAAAAAAAACATTAGTCTGGTGTCATGGTGCTTGCCTGTAATTCCAGTTACTTGGGAAGCTGAGGCAGGAGGATCATTTGAGCCCAGGAGATCAAGGCTGCAATGAGCTATGACTGTGTCACTACACTCCAGCCTGAACAACAGAGCAAGACCCTATCTCAAAAATAAATGAATAAATAGACAAATAAGTAACTATTATAATTACTTAATGTTTCCATTATTTTAAAGTCTAAACCTGGTTTGCCAAGTTTCTTTTGTTTGGCCCCTTCTTAGCCACAACTTGACCATCTACCTTAGTGTCAGCACCACTTCCTCAAGGATATCTTTCTGGATCCTGAATCTCCAGGTTTTATATCCCTACTATGTGCCATGGCAGAATCGTCTTTCCCCATGATAGCCTGTAGTGGTGGTCTTGTGTGGACCAACTGGCTGTCTATTTCCTGCTGTGTATTGTACACGCCATAGGAAGAGGCTATGTCTGTCTGCTGTGATAACTGTTCACACCCCTAGCACCCGTCACAGTGCCTTCTATATCACAGGAGCTAGTAAATATCTTTTGACTAAATGAGTGAATGACAATGACATGACTCAACAGTGAAACAGGGTTTTCTAATGATACATTTGCTTCCTAAAGGAGCAGTAAGATACAGTGGTGAAGAATCACACAGATATTGGTTTGAATCCCAGAAGTCCTGTCCGTCAAGTTATTTAACTTCTCTGATTAATGTATTGCATTTAGGAGAAGTACTGGGACGGGCTCGGTGGCTCAGCCTGTAATCCTAGCATTTTGGGAGGCTAAGAGGAGTGGATTGCCTGAGCCCGTGGGTTCGAGACTAGCCTGGGGAACTTGGTGAGACCTTGTCTCTACAATTAAAAAAAAAAAAAAAATAGCTGAGTGTGGTAGCGTGTGCCTGTAGTTCTGGCTACTTGGAAGGCTGAGGTAGAAGGATCGCTGGAGC